TCGTCTTCACAGCACGACACGCGTTGGGATTCACCACCTTATCTACTACGTCCACGTTTATCAAAACAGGACATTCTTGCGCGATCACTTCCTGCGCGCCTACAGTTGATGGATTATGGTATTGAATCTGGTGCTAGAAAGCGTAAGGCTTCTACGATTAGCGAATTAAAAGTAAAATAAAACGACATCTACAATTTCAAAACATACACTAGCCTAATGTCAGTGCTATACTGAATGTAATATGTAACCTGTTCCTATCTAGGTAATGGATATTTATTTAACACAGAAGTCTTCATTATTTTTTACATTTTTCAATAAAAAAATTTATAACTTAACTCCAACAGTTATGAATCTACCAATAAAACATTTAGATTATAAAAATTTAGTCAATTAGTTAAATTAAAAAATTTTATTTATACGTACGATAATTTGTCGGTAAACCCGATAATTTTATGGCATTGTGCTGATCAGACGGGGTAAAGTCTCTGGGAACACTGGATACTCTTCCTATTTCATCACTGGACTCCTACGAGGACATATCTTTAGCACCTAAGGACAATAGAAGGCCACAAGGAACAACAAAGGACCATAAGGATTCACAAGGAACAACAAAGGACCATAAGGATTCACCTAGAACAACAAAGGGACATCCTAACGTAAATGAATTCTAAACCCCAACCCTTACGGTTGTGATCGCTATAAGCGAAGCGTGCGAAAGGTGAAAGGGAACGTAAACGAAGCTGACAAGAGATGAGATTATTCCATTGTATTAATTCCATGTAAACGATAATTTCCCAGCGTGGCAACGCCACGTGCTTGTTTCGCATTCTTATATTTGACATATTAACCAGGGTTTTTATGCCGTAAGGCTTTTCCCTGACGAGCCAATAGAGCGTTGCATCTTTGATTGGCCCAACCACGTGTTTTATTTTACACCTTAATTCAACCCCTTATTTTCCACATCACAGCATATACGTGTAAGATTTATTGAATTTAAATAGAAATATTTATTATAATAGAACAAATAMTTAAATATTTAGGTTTAATATAATAATAAAGAGATAGAAATCGRAAAGAAAAATAAGTAACAATAGTTAGGAATCTTAAGTACACTCGTATTACACACGTTCACTCACAAATAGTCGCACCGAATCAAGAAGGCGAAGATCGCCTTCTTCGCCGCACTAATATCAGTGCAGCCAGATCGTGGGTTAATCGTACACTCTCCCTGTGCCACTGTGGGATTGCACACAATGAAAGTTACCAATGTCCGTGTGTTCGGTATGTCGAAAGAAGTCGAGTCCATGTGTTCGAGATAGCGAGGAAAGCCGAGAATAAACGAAATCGCACGTTGGAATAAGGAAAAAAGTACTCCCACCATGTAGCACGCTGAAGTAGCGCTACAAAAGCAATCCGTGTACGTGTGTCGGGATATCGGAGAAAGCCGAGAATAGCCGAAGCGTCTACCGAATCGCGGGAAAACAATGCTGGCCTACGAAATGGCTTCAACTATAAATTATGAATGTTTATCACCCTATTTAATGGTACAATGTTTTTCCAGAGTGGAAGGGATGGGTTAAAGAATGTYCATTGAATCCCAATAAATTTTATTGTGTTGCGTGCAAAGCAACATTGTCGTGTGGACGTTCGGAGATTATTAGGCATTCTAAGTCAGGGCCTCATTTAATAAATATGGACTTTTTAAAAGATTTTGAGATTACTTCTAATAAAGCACCTTCGGCAACTACTTATTTGCCAGGYTGCTYRCGAGAGTCAAATTCAGCTTCATCTTCGGCTRAGTTTGACATCAATGAACGAGTGCAAGCTGCTRAAATTCGATTCGCGACATTTTTTGCCRAGCACAATATCCCCTTGTTGATTGYTCCAGAAATGTTGAACTTAATTAAGTCTATCGGTAAGGAGCCTGCTGTTTTGCAGGCGATGACGATGGGMAAGACCAAAGTCACTAATATTATAAATAARGTCGTTAGTGTTAGAGAAACGCAGCGAATAAAAAATATTTTAATAAAAAGTAAATTTTSGGTTCACGTTGACGAGACGTCCGACATTACAAACGACAAATGGATGTCGCTGATRGTTCGTTATGTGRAGCYAATTACTTTGATGATTAGGACGGAGTTGTTGACGATGATTCATGTAAATACAACTGACTGTTCTGCCAAGGAACTTTTCAAAGCATTTGAAGATGAATTGACAAAGCAACAGATTCCCTTAAATCAAATAAATTGGCCTCACATGTGATAATGCATCTGTAATGGTCGGTAATCGGTGCTCGTTTAAAACTAATTTAAAGCAACAATGTCCCAATCTCGTTACGCTGCCATGTATCTGTCATTCCCTCGCGTTAGTTACTAATGCTGCTTTTTCCGCGATACCTGATGAAATCGATTATTTTATCAAAGGTGTCCCTACGTTTATTAACGGTAGTCCCAAACGGGCAACTATTTTCCACGATTTTCAGTCTAGTTTTGAAGCCTGCCTTTGCAAAATTACACGGTTTGCTGAAACAAGGTGGCTGTCGCGTCAAAAAGTTATAACTAAAATTTTAGACAATTGGAAGTCGATAAATGCATTTTTGATCGATCAAGCTTCAATGAACGCTGTAAGTGCAGATAGTTTGCTTGTTATCATGAATAAACCCATGAAAAAGGCTTACCTTCTATTTTTGCAATTCGCACTGAATTTTTTTAACGAGATTAATACTTATTTTCAAGGAAATAAGACATTAATCCACAAATTACAGCTTTCCTTGAAGAATTTTTTGGTGAAAGTTCTCAATAGATTTTTGAAACCTGCTTTGTTGAAACCMAAAATATTTGATGTTTACGTTAAAAACATCAACTTTGAAGATTGCAAGAATCAACTTGTTTTGTCTAAAGTTGATGTTGGATTCGATTGCAAAAAATATTTGCTAGATCAACAACAGCTAGGAACYTTATCAGAATCAGAGATAAATGATATTCGCAACAACTGTTTAAAATTTTATGTAATAACTTCAATTCGGATTCGCGAAAAACTACCCTTTGACGACATATTTTTGTCAAATCTATCCRTCTTTAACCGAGAAAYAKCGTTATTTGATTCTAATAGAGAATCTTCGATTACCCGGGYAAAAAACGTCTGTAATTATTTTAATGTTTCAGCAGAGGAACAATTATTAGTCGAAAAAGAATGGTATTCCTTGTACCAGGTCGATTCCCATTTRAAAGAGCAGTGGTGTAAATTAYCATTTGACGAGATGTGGATGGAAATTTGTACCCTTACTGATTCTGATGGGAATATCCAGTATTTAACATTGCGCTTGTTGTTGGRTATARTGAGAACACTTSCTCACTYTAATGCTGMGGCTGAAAGGGCGTTTTCTTTCTTACCTGACACAAAAACAAAGAAAAGGAATTGCCTTGGTGCGGAAACAGTTAATTCTATTTGCGTAATTAGATCTAGCTTAAAATCCAAAAAGTTGAACGCGGTAAACATGTCTCTATCGATAGGGAACATTTAGAATTAATGTCATCGAAAAATTTATATGCTACGATTGAGCGAGAAGATCCGGAAAAATTACATTTGTGTGCGTATGAAAGTGGCGATGAATGGGTGACGAATGAAAAYGATGACAAATAGTTAGTCCTTTAGTAGTTAGTTGCAGATTAGGTTGCTTCAGGTTTAGCCCACTCTGGATAGGTTGCTTTCATTCATATTTGTATTTCATTTCTTTGATGTATTAAATTATTTTTCATTCTTAGTTAAAAAGAAGTTTGAGTTTCAGGCTCAACGTTTTAYTAATTTATATATWTWTTTTTTAATTTTTTTAATTTTTTGGCTTATAATGATCTTCTATTTCATGTGGAAACGAGTAACCGCAATGGGGCTGTGGTATATGCTCTGGTTTAAAGCAACTGGGGTACTGAGTTCGAAACTTTTGAGATGTAAATATTTTTTTAATTTGATTTTATTTTCTATCTGTTTTAATTTTTAATCAAAACAAATTTTTTTATATAGCACAAATTTTTTTTTTATTTGAACAAAATGAAAATTATAACTCTGGACTCGTCTTCACATTAAACGTTTTTTTTATCTTATATTTATTTTGATTTTTGAATTTTAAAATTATTTTTATTTTGTAATTAAAAACCTTTTTTTCTAATTTTAAAATTTACTTAATTTTAATTAGAAAATAAAGCTCAAACTCTGAACTTTATTTTTTCCAAATAATTTTAAGCATAATTACATTTTTTTTATTTAAAATAAAATATTTGTAAAAAGAGTTTCTGAACTGCGTTTTACAAAATTATTTTTTTTTTGTTTAATAAAAAATAAAAAAAAAA